ATTGTTATATTTGGAATACACGGTATTCTTGCTTAATAGAAATGTTTACAAGAACACAGACATTTATATCCAAACACCAAATGAAGTAGATTGTTTAAGTGACCAGTTTTGCACCAGAAATAAAATATATTATACAAAACAGGGCTATATCCACAGTTATCAATTCTCACTTTCTACACAAAATGACAATAAATTAAATCACATTATATGCAGATAGTTCTACTTACATTAGAATAGTAAGCTCTATGTAGCTAGTGCAGCTTTGACCTTTCTACCAGATTCATGGTAGGTTTGTATTTGTTTGGTAGTCCTGTATTTAAATTAACCATGGACAATATGGCTCAAAAGACACGGGCTCCAGGATTGACCCTCTGCAATGCCTAGCTCATGACCCCCTTGTTTCAGCTACACAGGAGACAAAGTTCTGATTCTTAGAACCACAGCACATCTGGCCTGTTGAGGGCACTTCACTGATGACTTATCTGCTATGCCACACTGAAAATTTTCAGACACAGGCATTGAATCATGAATAATATACTCCATGACAAAATCCACATTTTCTTCTTGCTTTGCAAAAATAATTTCTTCTCTACCCAATAATAGTTATATACTATGACAGCCTTGTTCTAGAAAATAAAAATTAATTTGGTAGCCTGTTGGTAAATGGACCCTTTGTTCCTGTGCATAAAATTTGTGTCTTTAAATATGAATAAAAATATGTAACTTTTTATTAACTCTGGGGACTACTTGTTCAAATCTCTCTGCTAAGAATCATCTCATACCTGACACACTAAAGAGTTTTTGTACTGTGTGGAATTTTACCTCTGAGATTCAGCTCTCACAGAAATCCTTTTCACTGTGTTTGAAGTGTCTTAAAACATAAACACCAACATCAGCTGGTTCAGAATGCATTCTCTGGGTTTGGTACAAGTTAACATTAGTGATTAATAAGAGATTTGAACAACATCCAACCTGGAACCTTTTAAGAGTTGCTTTCACCCCGTAGGCCTGTAGGAGACATTTGAAAAATCTGTACTCTGAGAACCAAAGCCAAGGCTCATTAGTGTACATGTAAATCACAGGCTTGAACTGTCCAAGGCCATGTATGGCCAAGTTACTGTAAGTCTTCTCGTTAGAAGTCAGCTATCTCCTCACAGCCAGTGCTATTTTGTCTTTTTCTCTGAGTAAGTGTGGAGGCCTCCTCTCAAGTTCCCACCTGCATGGGAAAGGTGCTGACACACTTATGGAACCATGATGGATGGCAGGTGGGGCTCTGGGAAGAAAAGCAGTAGGGACAGTATCAGCTGCAAAGCTCTTTTCTCTGTCGCCTTGGGAGAAATAAGCTTCTGATTTCTTCTTACTGGGCATGCCCAATGCTTCTTGGTGAGACTGGCTATTTGCAGGAGGTCTAAAGTGTTCATTATTCTTCAGTTCTAAAGAACAACTGGAAGACGGACTGGTCCCTCTGGAGCTACCAACTCTCTCTCTCTCTCTCTCTCTCTCTCTCTCTCTCTCTCTCTCATTCTATGCTGTCCCTAAAGCACTCTGTGTTTCTACACAGTTTCCTTTTGTTCCTCTGAATGAGAAATTCAGCTCATTATCAGCTTCCTTCTGAAGTCCTGAACCACAAGGTGGAACTAAACAAAATCCATGACATGTAGGTAAAGAAACCAAATTTCAAATTGGCATTTGCCTTCCAAGCTGTATCCACTAGGGATCCAGAGTTCTTTGTGTGTCAAAAAAACATAAGCACTAGTAGTTTCCAATTTATAAGCACTATTCTTTCTCTTTTTTTATTTGTGTGTGTGTGTGTGTGTGTGTGTGTGTGTGTGTGTGTGTGTGTGCAGAACTGCACAAGTAGTTCAGCTTCAAGAAAACAATGGTGCCACTGGAAAGGCTTCTGAACGCACTCACTGTATGTCTGAAATACACAAGGCCTCCCTTTTCACTTCCCACTGCCCTCTTACATCCCTACAATCAGTCCCAACCAAAAGAAAGGAGGAAAGTTAGGGACAGAAAGGGTACATGTGTCTTCAGTAGGAAGCCTCGAGCAGGGGAAAAGACTTGGCCATTCCAAAGCTTTTCACTCATGGGAGAAGAAAGGGGGGGCATCTGCTCTCATTCCATTGGATTCTCCCTCTCCCCGTGAGTGCTAAGATGTAGAGAACTATTTTAAGGCCTGTGGAACTATGTCTGTCGTTCAGGAAAAGATGCACCAGTGGTTCTTAAGAACAATATAGCATTGAAGGGATTCCTTGTAACACCTCTGTTTGGGTGGAAGAGACACAGATCCACACAGAAAGTTTTGTTTCTGAGTTTGTCTTCTCTCCCAAATCTAAGACAATAATGTTGGCTGTAAAATGTGTGTTTATTTCCAACACCATAACTATATGCTTATTTTAGTTTGTGTATGAACTTATATTTGACTAGATGAGAAAAATACTAGTGAGATATCCCCCTTTGAAACCTTAATTATTGGATTTAAGAATAAAAATGTATAGACTGGCTTAAGAACTAAAGCCCCATTTAGTTTATTATATAATAGTTGGCTACTGGCAGATTATGAATGACTAATTGTCAATGCTGTTGCTCAGCAGTTAGGAATTTAAGAGTTCTTAACCCAGGGCTACCACAGAACTGACATCTATAATCTCAGCAAAGGTTTGCCAGCTTAGTGGTGTTTTCAAAATTTTATGTAGTTCGGGCAACTCATATGAAGATTTATTTTTTCTGAGACAGGATCTCACTGTGTAAACACGGCTGACCTGAAACTCACTACGTACACCAGGCTGGCCCTAAACTCACAAATATCTACCCACTCTGCTTCCCAAGTACTGGGATTAAAGACCTTGCCTAGCCATGTGAAAATGTTTAAGAAAGAAAAACTACATAGCAGACATGTAAGTTACCTTAATAATACTAGAAATTACTCCGTACTCCAGAGATGTCTTAAGTCATCCTGTCTTTCTTTACAAGGCTAACTGCCCTCTCATCTTTAACACCTTACCTGGGGATGAGTTATTAAACTTGGAACAGTTCCTCTAGCTGAAGTAAAAGATATTTGTTGTAACAATGCTGCCATTAATGGGTCACTGTATAAGTTCAAGAAAGGTTAGAAATATTTACACCAAAGGATATAGTCAGGTAGAGGACTTTCCCCAATACCAACCTCCTGAAATTAACACACAGGTTCAAAAAATAAACATTAGAAACTGAGTATCTCTGAAATATCTGGAAAAGATTATTGAAACGTAGAAGAGGGAGATCAGCTCTCTGGTTCAGATAACTGAAGCGGTTGCAATCTGTGCACTCTGTTTTCATTATGTGAGTTTCCAACCATCAGCCACTGCTTTCCTGAGTTCTACATCGAAAACTCTCCTCCTGCATTAGAATTTTGAAATTTACCTTTCTTGCCTACTTTTTCACTCTCTTTGAAGTTGGCACTTTTCCTTTAACAGCCCCATTGCAGAACTACCAATGTAGTTGCTCCTGTTGTCCATGGCTAATTCTTTTATCACACGGTTTGCATCCCATTTCCTGAGCCATAAAAAAGAAGTGTACTTCACACAGAAACAGCCCATTCACTTTGACTCGAGTGGGATGCAATCGGACATGATGCATCCCTTCCCAGGGAAACAAGCATGAGACAGCTTCCAGAACTTTCTATGTTCGCTAGGCTTCCCACTTCAGCTAACCTGAATGAATATGGCCTCCAAGGAATTATGCTCTATCTCCCCTTTAAACTGTGCTCCAGTTACTTAAATGTTACCAAGAGAGGCATGGTTACAGGACAGTGCTCTTGTTCTGTCCTCAAATGATGAAGTGGGAACCCAAATTTAAACCTCAGTCAATGCACAGAACTGATTGCAAATCGGATACCCAGCTAAAGTTAACTTAATCCTACCCAGGATGCACTATCCTAATGCACCGTGGGTGATTCATGGTGGCTGCAAAACTTTGCGGGCCTCGGGGGACACAGCAGATACCAACATCCCCTCTTTTAACCACAGTTTGATAAATCGCACACCTTTTAATGTATCATTTCTGTGCTTTGCTGTCAAATTTTCGCCCTGCTTAACTCTACTAACTTCCATCTCTCAGTTTTCTCAAAGTGCATCATTTGGCCATACTTAGAAGGGATGGAGCCCTCCAGTATTTAAAACAATCAAAATGAAAACTGGCTTAACATCAATGTATTCCTGTAAGGTTTGTAAGCTGAATTCATTTCTAGATGTCTGTGGTCAGAGCAGCAGTTAGTCTTTGTCCATAGCCAAAGGAAAGGGGACAGCAAAGAGAGATAGGCCATCCCTTCGCCACCATGGATTTGTCACACACTTCCTCCATGCTTTTAAAATATAAGTGAAATTTAATCTTCAAAATGAAAAAATAGACACATTTCTAATACCAAAATATAAGATTAAAATACTTAAAAATAAAATGTTAGCGTGAAGTAGGGCTTTTCTTTTTACATCATAAAAGAAACATTTTAGACTTGCTTTTCCTATATAAATCCTCCTAGCTCGCTAATATTTACAATTTTCCAGAGTAGCCTTTCTGAGACACTGAAAGAGACAGGGAGGATGCCTTCTGGAGACACAAAGTCAGACCTGAATGTGGACACTGGACACAGCCCTTGTCTACCACAAACCTGTCCACTGGCTCCAGAGAGGGTAACCCTGCATTCTCAGCCTTGAGATTTTTTTTCATTCCATTGTCCTCTTACTGGGTGTTAAATTCTTTCCAAGAATATTCTACTTGTAAAAAGTGTTTTATTCTAACTATAAAACATTTCCTTTCAGAATAACCACATTTTTATATCCTTGTGTGAAAGGCCCCCAAAGCCATCAAGATATGGAAACACCAGATATTCAAAACATAAATCTAAACCTGAGCCCTTCCAGCAGTCAGAACACCTAATAGAATGGCATCATATCCTTCTATGTGTTTGCCGTGAGATGAACGGCCAGGAGGCGGATAGTGATTAATAATCATTCCTGAGCTTCTAAAGGAAATTTAAAGTGAAATGACTACTGCTTAAAACAAAGAATTCTCCACAAACGCCCCTTCTGTCCCACTGATGTCCTTCCTTGCGACTATCTCTCAAGCAGACAAAGGGGTGAGGGCCTTTAAGCCACCGAAAAGTGAGATCTGATGGAGTCTTCGCGCAGCTCCCGATGTTTCCCGATGTTCCTTTCTTCTTGCTGATTTCGCCTCTCAATGGTTATTCTGTATTTCTTCCTGGGTAAAAGCAGAACAAATGCAATAATAAAACCTCACTCAACAATAAAACACTATAGCTCCTCTTAGAAGAATGCCTTCAGGGGACATCTGGGTTAGGTTTGATAAATTAGAAGTGACACATATGAAACCCTGGTCAGAGATTAAAGCGGTGTGCCCCGAGGCATCATGTCCTTATTCAAGGAGGAAAATTGGCCTGCTTTCCAAAATGCCATAGAACAAGCCTTCCCCTTCTTCCCTGGGAGCCTGTGGGTTCAGCCTTATCTATTCTGCCCCAGAAGCTCTGTTTAACTCCCAGGATATGCCCCCAGATAAAGATCTTTGGTACTGTGACCAAAGGAACAGGAACACTATTGTTCCCACAAAGAGCCACATACACCCAGACTCACATTTCCATGTGAAAATGAAGAAACCTTACAAATAAGCCATGAATTCAACCACTGGAGATTACAAAAGAATGGACCACCACCACTGCAGCAAACGACCAAAACCTTGAGCACATGTACATTTTACCAGTTTACGAGCCTTGAGGTTGAGCCACAGCAACAGCTAAGCATGTGACTTCTCCAAATACAAAACACATTGCAGCCTGGATCAAAGATCACTGGGAGATCCCTCCAGCTGTCCAAGGTGAACACGACCACTTATTTCTGAATTGCGGGAAGTCTGAGGAGAGGTTCACCGTTGGTCCAGATTTCCTCTTCGTGTTTACATTTGGTAGGTAGAAGGGACTCTCATAAACAAATCTGTGATCCAGAGATCCCAGCAACTCTCTGGCCCATGGTGGCAAGGCTACAATAGAAACTCATAACCCAAGATGGCCACCAGACCCAAGATTGTACCCAAGAATGGCTTTGCTATTTTAATCATGTCCTTCTTCTTTGAAAGAAGGGTGTGGGCAAATCACAGGGAGCATTATGCGAAGACAGGAGACAGAGGCAAAAAAAAAAAAAATTTTAACTTCATGAATGGTCCCTACCTGAAAAAGTAGAAGGCCATTAGCAAACCAGCACCAAGTAGGGCCCCTACCACGATTCCTGTCACTGCTGATTCTTCTAGGCCACCTGCTTGAAAAACAAACATCACTAATCAGAGCTCATTTTGAAAGAAATAAGTAAAAATACTTTGATTTGTGCTCATCTCCCAGTTGAAACAACATTTCCTTTCTTTGATATATATACATATACATATACACATACACACACACATATATATATACATATACATATATATACATATACATACATATACATATATATATATATATATATATATATATATATATATATATATATATATATATATATATATATATATATATATATATATATATATATATATATATATATATATATATATATATATATATATACAGAGAAATCCTAGACCTTATTCTTTGCTTGGTATATGCTGTTCAGAAAGCACTAGATATATGCACTGTCACATGACAGTGAAAAGAACAGTAGCAAAACAAGTTCTGAGTTGATCTTGGGACAAATGGCAGTCATCCTAGCATTTGGGAAGATGAGGCAGGAGGGTCTCAAGTTTGAGGCCAGCCTGGGCTACATAGCAAGATCTGTAACAGGGAAGGAAAGGGAGAGAAAGAAGGGGAGGGAGGGAAGGGAGAGGGAGAGAGAACAGTAGGGGGGGAAGGAAGGTTGGAAGGAATGATGGACAGAGAAAGAAACAACAGATTCAAGAAGAGTTTGATGAGGCTGGAAACTGAAGATTTCAGACACATCCATATTCTTTTTTAGTTGAAAGTCAGAGAAAGATGCCTGGATGGACAAAGGTACTGACCCAGCTCTTCTGTTTCTCACAGGTGGATGGTAACACTTCAAAGTGCTAGAAGGTTTGGGGAAAACTGTATTGGGTCAGTATTCTGTTTTTAGATGTTCTCTCACCAAAACCAGAATTCCATCTCAAAATGTCCTACATAGCTTGTGAAAATGCAAACCACTTGGATCCGTCCTTCTCATTGGGATCTCAGTTCTAGAAAAATCAACAACTCCTCTCCTTGCAGAATTTAGAGTAAGCCTGCAGGGCACTGTCTCATTGGCTCCTCAGATCAAAGCTGGGTACATTTCACTTTACGTGTGAGAAAAGTGAGGGTTGGTGACTTGAAAGAACTCTTCCTGGCATCTCCAAACAGGCAAGAAGCAAAGTGAGAGACTATGTGGTCAACACACTACTCCATTAATTCTTTCTCATAACCATTTCATGGATATAAACTCCTCATCGTTGAACCCGGTCGTGAGACATAATGACCATTCATATGTTCACCTAAAATCACTAACTGGCATGCAAGATTGATACCACTTGTTCTTCCTTGTGGTTACTAAAGCCCATCAAAGACAATCACCGCAAAAAATGTTCCTATCTCTGAGGAAGAGACACTTGCTTCTCTAACTACATCCAGAAATTGGCTGTAAATAATATATCCAATACTTATTTGCCACTTTGTAAGTTGCCAGGTGTTTAAGAGCAGTGTCTGTCTCATCCTGAGGATTTGGAGATCAACTGTAAACTTTGAAATCAATAATGAGATGTGTAACAGTAGATGAATAGGAGACAGTTAATAATATTTTTATTTTTTCTTGAACTGGAAACCTCTAATAACTAAGATAGTGTAAAAAGAAATATAAATCCAGACAGAATATTCTACCATTTGGAAGAAAAGAATAAAGGGAAGAAAACTGGACACCTCTGATAATGGAGGAAAGGTGACCATGGGTTTGAAGGCATCAGAAAAAGACATGGGCATTTCAGGACATGAGTCCTTGAGAGCAACATGTGTCAGACTCATATGAACCTGGGACTAAAGAGGAGGAACAGTAAATTACGTCTCTGAACTTACATGATTTGCAAGGAGAGCTATTGGTATGCTCCGCAATTCTGGTTTCATCTATTCTCAGTTTCAAAGGGCCCCAAGGGTATTTGACATTGGATCGCATTTTGAACCGGCCTTCTTTTCCAAAGTAATCACCAATAACCTACAGAAAGGCAAAAGTCAGACGTACAAAATGAAAGGCCAAAGGTACCTGGTCCCAAAGGAGGCAGAAGCTCACAGACTTGCATTCGCTTCCCAAAACGTAGCCTGATCTACACATCTACACTTCTCTGCATATCACCACCTGCAGGAAGTGACAGCAAGAGCTTCAAAAAAGCATAAGAAATGGGAAAGAGGCTCCCCTGTTGTGCACACAAACTGTCACAGCAGCTTCTCATGGCAGTGAAGGAAGCAGGGTCATGTAGGTTTGAAAAGGTGTGGATATGACAAAGACAGTCCCAACTGAGGCCTGGAGGCTAAGTCCTTCCAATGTTGTTCCTTGGTATTCATCATTTGCTGCATAGTGGGGAGGATGGGATTTTCATTTCCCTATGAAACAATAATCTGCAGACTCACAAATTCACAGCTTTTTCCTGGCTCATCCCATAGGGCCATGTCTGGCCTTCTGCCACAGACCAGTCCACACTGTCAGTCATGTATAAAGCCTACTTTCCTTAGGGATATGTGACAGAACCAATGCTACTGCATACATACTTAGGTTAAGCATGGGACAGGTACCCAACCCCACACTCCTTGGTTAGACTGGCAGATAAATATAACACTAAATAATATAATTTAGAGCCGAGTGTTGGTGGCGCACACCTTTAATCCCAGCACTTGGGAGGCAGAAGCAGGCAGATCTCTGAGTTCGAGGCCAGCCTGGTCTCCAGAGCGAGTGCCAGGATAGGCTCCAAAGCTACACAGAGAAACCCTGTCTTGAAAAACCAAAAAAAAAAAAAAAAAAAAAAAAAAAAAGAGTGACAGAAAGATGACTTTGGAGATAAAGGCCCTTGACACCAGGCCTTAAGACTTGGATTTGATACCCAGGATACACATGTTGGAATGAGATAACCAACTTCTACAAATTGTCCTCTAATTTACATACACACACACACACACACACACACACACACACACACATTCACACACTCAATAAATAAATAAATGCAATTTAAAAATTGTATCTTTGAAGAACTTTCTGGTTGACCCTCTTTTGGTTAGTGCTATGTCCTTAGGGGTCACATTCGTCTCTGATGAATTCACTCCTTTTGCTCTGCCATTATCAGGCTGACCTCTGTTTCAGCTGTCACCCTAGACCCCTGAAAAACTCATCATTCATTCCTGATGTAATTGCAGGGTCATGCTCCAGTTAAATGATGATTAGATCAGACACGTGAGACTATCTGGCAGTGTCTCCTCACACATAGCTTCCAGGGATTACCCTCTGTTGTCTGGAAACAAATTTGAGGCTCCTGGGTGGCCGGTGACATTTCTCCTCCCTCCTGACTGAGCTACAGCAGGCTCTCACAGGCTGTATCTGCTCAGGGTCAAAACAATTCTTGTTTCTGATGAACATGACAGTGGCTGCTCTGTGCTGGGCAGATCCCAAGTGCTCTGCACACCACAACCTCACAATGGGATGAGATGGACTGTTACTTCCTACCTTCTCCAGTGGAGGAAGCAAACAGGACCCAGGACATAGCAAGAGGGCTCCCGCTCCCTCTCCCCTCCACAAAGGCTAGACACACCCCACATCAAGGAAAACAGCAAATACCAAATGTCAGTGCCCACAAAGGCAACAAGAGTGATGGCCGTCATTAGAATAGAAAAGCTGTATCTGCCCCTCACCAGCTGCAGTGATCGGGAGAGTGGCCTATGCACCTTGCCAGGGCAACACGGTAGAGCTGGCCCTGAAGGTGTAGGCATGGATAAGCCTACCTTGAGAGCGCGAAACCAGGGGAACTGGCTCCGCTCCTGGCACATTGATGCATAGGATGAACTAGCTGAAGCAATGCCTGAGAGCTCACTCGGGTGTTGGGGGTGGGGGATAAGCCGGTGGGCTGACCAAACCTGCAACTACCTAAGCCCAGAACCAGAGTTATGAGTTGACCCACCCCAACAACCACCCCATCTCTGATCTTCTGGTTCATGGGAAGGGGCATATCCTGCAGATTCAAAGCTGCAGGACTTCCATGACACAGGATATCCAAGAGGAACCCCAGTGAGGTCCCAGTATTGATGGTGTAGCATAAACCAGAGGCCTCAGACCAGACTCTTTGTAATGTACACTTGAAAGTAAAGATATGTGTGACTCACTATGTCACGCTACAGCTTCCATAACCAGATTCTTTTTTCTCTCTTAAATTTTATTTTGTTTTATTTTATTTTATTTTATTGGGGTGGGGTGCAAGAGCTGTGGATGGATATGAAGGGATGGAAAGATGAATAGGATCTATATAACATGATGTGAAAGACACAAAGACTTATTAAAAATAAGTTTTAAAAGGAAGAGTGGTGACCTTGCAAGGAAACAGAGCAGTCATCATTAGCTGCTGAATACTTATTTAATACCTATTTCTTTCTCTTTACCTGGCAATTAGAGGTCACGTGTTACTTTTCTTGGTTTCATTTCATATTGTTCTAATAATATCATGAGACCAGCAAGGAAAATCGTATGAGTCCCATGTTGCAGCTGAAGAAACTGAAGCAGGAAACCCCATGCCCCTGATGATTGTCACAGACTCATCTTCAGTCCAGGACTGACCTCTCTGTCCTGAAACTCCATCCTTTGAAATAGTAACACCTAAAAATCTGTAGCAACCACTAAGGAAAAAAATCTGGAAATGCTAGGGGCAAGTAAGGTATGCTTCCTGTACCGACTGGTGCCCCTATTACACAGGGCTAAGGAGTGACACTTGACAGCGTGACAGGTAGGACTTCTCTACCAAGAACACACATGGCTGTATGTCCTGCCTTCTGCCTGTTCCCTCAATCAACAGTGAGTTTTTCCTTAATGGAAGGCTCGGTTTTATTTGAAGGGTGCTTTGAACACCAGGACAAATACACACTCAGAGTGCCCACTTGCAAGAATGACCAATGAAGAATTTCCCTTTACTCACTTCCTGGGTGCCTGCTTCGGTGTCAGTCATGGCAACCACAGAAAAGTCCCCATACCGATCTCCGTTGGCATCTATAGACACCTGCCCAGCAATACCTATGGAAGAGGTAAAGAACTCTGCGTTAGTAACTTATGGTACCTCTGCCTGCCAAGAGAACAAATTGATGGGATTTTTTAAAACAAACTCATGCCACAGGGAATCACATCAGTCTGGAAGCATTTTTGTTGGCATCTGAAAAGACATTGTAATTTCATCTGTGTCTGCATTCCTAAATTCTTAACATTTCTCCATTTAAAAAAGAAAAGAAAAAGAAAGAAAGGATCTTTGGGGAATAGTTTTAAAAAATAGATTAAGGCTAACACTGAAGGCAGTGTACTTATTCTAGAGTTTTGAGGGTTTTTATATTCTGAAAAGTAGCAGAGAAGATGTCTTATCCTACATAGGTTCATGTGGTTATTGGACAACTCCTGAGGAAAATCAGGCTGGCCCAGGATTCAATGAACACGCTTCACACAGCCTGCATTAATACATGGGAGATCAGGAAGTCTGGTTGGTGGGTCCTTGGAGCCAATGTCTAAAGAGCAATTCTTCATTGCCCAATGTGTGTGCATTCATTGCTTATCCAAACATTATCCGGAAGATTCCTAGGTGCTGACTTAGTTCTGCAGCAAAGGTTAAGTTAGAGCAGACAGACTCTTTGCTCAAGGAGGGCCCTGGACTAAGGATTCAACTTTTCGCATTAGAATCAAACTGGTTGGGGCCAGAGAAGTAGGTGAAGATGCTTGCCACCAAACTGAGCAAAGGTCATAGGTTAGATCTCTGGGACCCACATGGTAGAAGGAGCAAACTGACTCCCAAAAGTTGTCCTCTGACTTACACACACACACAGAGAGAGAGAGAGAGAGAGAGAGAGAGAGAGACAGAGACAGAGACAGAGACAGAGACAGAGACAGAGACAGAGACAGAGAATAATTTTTTTTAAATTTCAATCTAATTTTAGATTGTTTTTCTTTTTTTTCTTAAAGAATCAGAATGCTGAATTGCTGTTTTGTCTTTCCCTACCTCTGCAACCTTGGCCAAGGCATTAGTCCTCTGAACCTCAGCCTCTACAACTAGCATAAACGGGCATAAGGTCATGTTCCTACCAGGAGGCTGTGGAGATGAGTACATGAGATAAAACACGTGAGGCAGCTCCAACAGATTTACGTAAGCAACACCAGCTGTTTTCCTCTACAGTATCACTACTGCTATTATTATTATTCCCACAGGTTGAGTAGCCCTTAGCCAAAGTACTTGAGGCAAGACATGTTGCAAATTTCAGAAGTTTTCAAATTTTTGAATATCTGCATGCATATAATGAGACATCTTGGGGATAGATGCAAGTCTAAGCACAAGATTCTTTCATTTCGTATACACGGTCACTCATGGCCAGAAGGTAATCTGAATACGGATGTTTTGGTGGTAATTTTTTGCATAATATAAATATCCATTATTAGGAAGTTTCCATTTGTGGTGCCATTTTGACACACAAACTATTCCAGTGTGGGGACATGTTGAGCCTCAGATTTGAGGATGGAGGATGCTACTTTAAAGTCATCATTATCATTACTGTGCTTGAGGTATCATAGGAAGCACTTGACCATGTTCCACCACTCAGAGGACCACTCAGCACAAGTTAAAAAAAAAGTCAGGGATTATCGAATTATAAAATCTCTACACAGGCACACAGGAGGAAACCTATGATTCAAACCACTATCAAGAAATGTAAGTTTCTGAACTGGTTTAATTTACAAAGACCCTAAGACAAAAAAAAAAAACCAGAGAACTGTGAAGCATCTGATAAAAACAGTTCATGTTCACGAACAAAGTCAGTGAAACACGAGGCTGGAGCAGAGCAGCCAGAGCACAGAGAGCCCACCCACCTTGGCCAGTGATGATGGGTGCTCACAGCACCTAATGCCCAAAAGGCCACCAGAGAACAATGGCTGATATTACACAGTCTGCATTTGCATCTTCATTCACTAAGTAGCAGGATGTGTACACCAGCCATGTTCTAATTAACACAAGCATTTGTTCTCTTTGTGGGAGAATTCTATACTGTTCTTAATTGGTCCTTCCTTCCATCAGTTTGGTTCTCCCCAGAAGTAGTGACTGCCCCAGGAAAATGAATGTCTACTGAGGAGCATCCCAAGGGAAAGTTCCATCCTCTTGTGTGGTTTGGAGAGGATAGGCATTTGGGTTTACTGTTCTTTGGGCTGTGGTTTGAAGGTCCGCTGATTTTTCCAGACTTTGGGTTACTTTGCTGGAAACAGAATGGAGTTACCATTCATCTTCATTTTTTGTCTTCTTAATAGGGGCAAGTTACAAAGGATGCACCTATCACAAACTTTTGCATCCTTGGGAGCCTATAAAACTTCAAATCACATGCATTTAGTACATACATATAAATGTGTATATGCATATACATACATGTATATGTGTACATATACATACACATACACATACACATACACATACACATACACATACACATACATATACACATCTGTTCTCTAAATATGTGGCTATCCAAAATGACTTGTCATTCTGTCCAGAAGTGTTTGGAAGCTGTGTCCTGCTGAGTGCTATGCAGAGTATTTTATAAGATGCAGTGGCCCTAGTAATCCAACACCTCATTACACCTAAAGTGATTGCAATTCTACCAAGAAATGGGGTGAGAACTCTCAGGGTGGCTGCTTTGCAAAGTGAGACTTCACCTGAGGGTATCAAGCAGAAGGTGAACTTGTTAGGGTGACAGCAGAATTTTCCTGCATATCAGCAATGATTCTTTCCAACCCGGTTTCTATTTGCCTAGAGTGGAGCCTATGTCCCGAGCCACACACAGTCCTGTTTACCTTGTCCCTCTGACCTCTCACACAGAGGAAACACGGCTTCTTTTTGAACCATTTATTGAAAGTCTTGAGAGTTGATCATAGGCTTCCTGGCAATAAAATCCAATTTTGTCAAACAACATCCAGGGTATTTTTTCTCCTCACAACTTAATGGTCACTTACAGCAACCACTAAAATTAAAGCTGTTTTTAATGTTAGGAAGATTTGAGTTTTTCTTCACACATCCACCTTAGAGTTCTTTGAGGGGGGTGCCTTCAAATGGACTACTGCTCAGCAAATAAAATAGGCTCTCCCAGCCATTCAAATCCAAGTTCACCTTGGCATCAGTCTTTACATTTTGGACACATAAGATTCTAATTTTAGACTCAACTATACAACTCTTTCTCCTCTTGGTGTATATTGACTGTGTAGACCTGGCCCTCAAATGGAACCATCAAGATGGCATGTGAGAAAATTTAGCATCTGTCTTAGCTCTAAAAAGAACTATATCCCAGCCATTGTGGGCACCTGCCCTTCTCTTAACCACCTCACCCAGTGGTGTCTTTCAGCATCCCCAACTCTGGCTCCTGTCCCGCTGTCAGAAGACCAAGAACAAATGACCACACCATGCAATGAGTAATAGCTAAGAATGGGATGTGCCTGACCAAGGTTGTGTCCCCACACACCAGTTTCTCGGTGTATTGTGCACAAGTTCTGGGAAATTTGACTTTGTCCTAATATGACCCCTGAATTGCCCTATTTGATTCCTGCCCCTCAGCTGAAGCAGGAAGAGGCAATGTGAGTGCATCAAGGGAGCTTCTTCATCCCCAAGCAACTACTTTTCTAAAATGAAAGCTGTCACTCTTGTCCAGATTGAAACATGGCATTCACTGAGATCACCATAGAGAAAAGAAACCAGTAGCTACCATAGCTGCTACCCAGACAACCCTAGCTGGAGCTTCACTCCACCCTACTGCCCTTTCCTTTAAATATCTGAGGACAAGCTGAGGTCATTGAACATACAGGGGACCATCCTATACTCCCCTCTCAAATCTAGACTTGTCTTTGTTCATGCCTTTGAAAAGTTTCACTCGTGTGATTACAAGTAAGTATAGGCATACTCCAGTCCACTAAAGGGCTCCCAGGACAAGTTGGCATGATGGAGAACTGCAAAGGCCCTTTTCAGTTACCTGACCCAGTCTCCTTACAGAGGACGCAGGCTCCTGCCTCCTATCTCCCCAGTCTGCACTCTGTGCTGATGGTTAGCCAAAGATGCTCCCCAGCATGCTACAGGTTAGGTGCTACAGAGCACCAATAAGGCATACCACCTCCAAGGAAACTAAAATGGCTTTCTATTTCAGTGGGTTTCCAGGTCCATGGGGCTGGCCCCATTGCATCTTGAGCTATGGGTCCTATGATATTGCCCCATCTATTCAGATGTCAGTCACATATACCTCCCAGATCCTCAGGGGACAATCTCCTACCACATACATTCAGACTACAAAGCAATTGCTGCTTCCTCTGTGGCATTGTCTCCTAAACAAGATGACTTCTATCACCCTCAGGTCCCAATCAGCTGCCATGTTCATGGCCTTTCCTTGACTGCTCATATCCCACCACTTCCTGTCTCCCTACTCTGCTTTAATTTACAGCCCCTGGGGGGGGGGGTATTGTCTCTTCCTAAACACACACATTTGCACATAAGACAAACTGATTATGGGCAACATCTTTTGTTCTCTGCTTCATCCCAGGCTCCTTGAACAGTGCCTGGTATATCACAGATGCCTGTTGGATGTATTAGATGAGCTTGTTCTAGGAACCAGCTCAAGCCAGTTTGGAGTGTTGCTGAGGTAAGAAGAAACCACCGCTCCTATATACACTATTGACAAAAAATATAGATTCGCAGAATCTATAAGAATCTATAAGATGTTTGGCAAATAGTCAGCCCTGAAAACATACTTACAAGTAACATTATACTGACTGAACAGGTTATATATATATAGGAATATATATGTGTATATACAAATATGTACATAGATATATACACATATGCACGTAATAACAATTAGTGGAAAGTGAAAGAGGCCATGAATGTGAAGGAGAGGAGGAGGAAGTACATATGAGGGTTTGGAGGGAAGAAAGAAAAAAGTGGTAAATGAATCAACAAAGCCTATTAAAAGAAAAAAGAAATTTGGCAACATTTGATGCCCTTTGTAAAGCACCAAGATACTTTGAGACCCAAATTCCTCACCATTAGGGATGTTCTCTGAAAGATATAGTCACAGAACTCCATTAAGGTGCACAAGAGCCTATGATGCCATACTGCAGAATAACAAAAACTGTAACTAACTGAAGTATCCACCAATCAAAGGTAAATTAGAAATGGGGGGGGGTGGCTTGTAACCCAAGTACTCAGGAGGCTGAGATGGGAATGCCTCATGTCTAAGGCCAGTCTAGTCTATACAAGCAAGTTCCAGGTCAGCCAGGACTCCATAGTAAGAGCCTGCCTCAAAACAAATTATCAAAAAGAATTAAGGAAATCATTATGTAGTAGAATCACTCTTAACTCTCATTTTAAAATAGGATAGATCTATGAGTGCTCACATGGAATTTTTTTGAAATACCAAAAGAAGTGAAATATAAATGGAACTAAAATGAAGACTGGTGTTTACAATGAGACATAGAAATTTTACATGGTATATATTGTGTGCTATCAGAAAGCATACACACTTCTGGAGTCGTCTAGAACAGTGATCGCATTGGCTAAAGGAGATAGTGGTGAGAAGCAAAGTTTTCACTTTTTATTTTGTATGTTTTTAGACTGTTTAAGCTTTCTAGCCAAGAATAGTCCCATTTTTAAAAGTCAATGTATGTCACTGGAATGATAAGACAATATATTCTTCTTGTTGTTATTGTTACATGTTCCTGTTTTGTTGTTTTTTGTTTGTTTGTTTTGTTTTTTAAGCAGGAACTAATATTCACTACTTTGAAAAGTCAAATAAATGCAGAGGGCCTGGACCTGCTAACCACCTCTAACCACCAGGTTGGATATGACAGCTAAAATCTTCTGCATTTCACTAAAACCAACATGGTCCAAACATGGGGATGTACACATGGATTAACATACTTTTAAGCCTGACTACAGATCTTCCACACCCATTGTTCTAGGGTGAATACACTTATGTTAAATGTGATTTTTTTAAGTGCACAAGGCAGGGGAAATGGCTCTGTGGGTAAAGTGCTTACTGTGCAGGTTGATGACCCAAGCTCTGACTTTCTACCCCATGTGAAAAGCTGGGCACAATCATTCATATCTGTAATCCTTGTGTTGGCAGAGACAGAAACAGGCAGGTCTCAGGGGCTTGCTGCCCAGCCAATCTAGTGAAAACAGTGAGCTCCAGATTCAGTGAGATTCTGCCTCAAAAACTAAGTTGGAGAAAAATAAAACCTGATATAAAGCTCTAGCTTAGACACACACACACACACACACACACACACACACACCATAGTGTAAGTGTTATCTAAATAAGCCAGGAGCAAGATAGTTCTTAATGAAGTAGAATCTGCTCAATGCCATATTTACATGCATTGAATTGTTTGATATTATTTTTAGGAGCCGGTGAGGTGAGTTGGCTTATTCTCCATACATTAAAACTGGGAAAAGCAAGTCTCTAGAAAGAGTCTTTGTTGTAGCAAGCAGCCACCATAGAAGCAGTGGCTCACTTAGCCACAGTGCTGCTGCCATGGAAACCGAATCCCTACCTTCAAAGGTCCTGTTCCAGGTCTGCTGGATGATTTTCCCCCCATCCTTCTTGCTGTAGCCAGCTCTGAGTACTTCGTGTAAAGCCAGAACGTAGAGGAGGATGGCATCATGGAACCCTTCAACAAACATGTTCACCTGCAAAGGAAACCCACTGAGTGAGCCTGAGAACCTGATATTTTATGTTCATCAATGATGCAAGCAAGCAAAATGGTCCAACCTAAGTCTGGAGGTGTGAGATCAATGAAGGAAGTGGGCAGAGCTATCAAAAGTAACTACCAAGAGTCTTATCTTATTTTATGTTTTCCTGGTACTAAGTAGGAAAAACCCTTCCTCACTTGAGAATTTACAGAGCAAACAAGACATTGCAGAAGTCAAAGAAACCATTCTGCTGTCCAGGTTAATTATCCCAGGAACTTCAACCCTCTTTTCATGCAATTACCCTTCTGCCCGCATCTTCCATCAGCCTCAACTCAGCATGAGCCCAACTCCCTAGAGAAGTCTTCTCCAACTTCCACTGCCCATATGATCTCTTTACATTCTGAGTGTAAGCCATATGAACAGAACAATAGTAACTGTGCAAGCTGAAGCAGAGAAGTCAGGAGTTTGAGGCCAGCCTACACTACTTGGCAAGACCTTGTCTCAAGATATAAAAACAAAACAAAAATGTATGTATCCATTTGTTTATACTCAACAAAACTGTTACCGACTGCCAACACTTATCCAAAGAATTGACACAGTGTTTTCTCCTGCATTAGCAATAACACCTCAGTCTGTCTTTCCACCCCTCTCCCAAGCTCAGAAATGAATACAGACTTGACTGTTGGTACATTTTGTTTGATTTCTGCCTCAGAAAAAGTATCCTTGTTCTCCATAAACTTAGTTTCATAAATGCAAACACTGTCCATTGAACATAGGGAAGTTGCTTCATCATTTTCAGTTTTCATCTGTACCTATGAATGTGGTGTAGAACCTTATTCAAGGGTTCCACAAGACCTTCTGGAAGAATCATATGGTATCACAGAGAAAAATGCTTAGTGTGTATCAAGTATTAAATAGTTTTATGGACCATATGATGTTCTCAGTACTATGCTAGAATATTATTCAGGATATAGTAAAAAGACATAAAATAGAGCAGTTCAGCATTGTTTGTAATAGACAGAACCTGGAAGGAACCTAGATGCCCCTCAACTGAAGAATGGATAGAGAAAATGTGGTATGTTAACTCAGCTGAAAAAAAGCAATGGAATCTTGAAATTCACATACAACTGGATGGAACTAGAAGAAACCATCCTGAGCAAGGTAACTCAGTTACAGAAAGACAAACATGGTATGTACTCACTCATATATGAATTCTAGACACAGAGCAAAGGATTACCAGCCTACAATCTTCATCACCAAAGGAACTAGGAAACAAGAAGGACCCTAAGAGAAGAATGCATGGACCCCGGAGAAGGGGAAGGGGCAGGCTCTCCTGAGCTAATTGGGAGCATAAGGGTAGGGGAGAGGGAGCTGGGAGAATGAGAAGGGGAGAAGAGGAGGGAAGAGGAGGAAATGGAGGAGCAAGAATGTTGAGTTGGGGGAAGAATAGAGGAAAGCAGGATGAGAGATACCATAACAGAGGGAGCCATTACAAGTTCGAAGAGAGATCTGAGACTAGGGAGATTTCCAGAGATCTACAAAGAAGACACCAACTGACAATCTAGGCAATGGTGGAGAGGCTACCCTGAATGCCGAGGGGAGAAGAGGAGGGAAGAGGAGGAAATGGAGGAGCAAGAATGTTGAGTTGGGGGAAGAATAGAGGAAAGCAGGATGAGAGATACCATAACAGAGGGAGCCATTACAAGTTCGAAGAGAGATCTGAGACTAGGGAGATTTCCAGAGATCTACAAAGAAGACACCAACTGACAATCTAGGCAATGGTGGAGAGGCTACCCTGAATGCCGTTCCCCTATAATGAGAGTGATGATTGCCTTATATGCCATCCTAGAGCCCTCATCCAGTGGCTGATGGAAGCAGAGGCAGACACCCACAGCTAAAGAATGAACTGAACTCTGGAACCCAGTTGCAGAGAGGGAGGAGTAAAGAGCAAAGAGGTCAGGACCAGGCTGGTGAAACCCATAGAAACAGCTGACCTGAACAAGGGGGAACACATGGACCCCAGACTGATGTCTGGGAGGCCATCACAGGACTGATCCAGACCCCTGAATGTGGATGTCAATGAGGAGGCCTTGGCACTCTATGGGGCCCCTAGTTGTGGATCAGTGTTTATCCCTGGCATAAGTAGAGACTTTGGGAGCCCATCCCACATGAAGGAATGCTCTCTCAGCCTGGACACATGGGGGAGGCCTAGGCCCTGCCCAGGGTGATATGACAGACTTTGGGGAACCCCAGTGGAGGGCCTTACCCTCCGTGGGGAGCAGAGGGGGATGAGGTGAGGGGTTTGTGGGGGAGGGGAGGGAGAGGGAGAAGAGATTGACTTGTGATTCAGGCTTGCTTCTAATTTAAATTAATAAAAAATAATCTCTTGGGGGAAAAAATAGAGCAGTTTGTGTTATAGACAAGGGAAACATGATAAAGAGAAATTCAATGGTGTTGGCAAGTGTTGAACTGAATTCTGAAAATGAATAGATGTTTGCAAGGGCGGAAAGTTGGAGAAAACACTATGGCTAGAATAATGTGGCAAAGGCATATCTTAACCATTGCTACATTGAAAACAACTGTTCTGCTGGGCTGAAGCAAGAGGAACAAGGTCACATGGAAACAACCAGCAGAAACTCGGACCTCTGAAATAAGAGTGCTCTCTGGGGAACTTGGACTGTCCTTAGTAAGCATTTGATCACTTGACTTAAATTATTTCCTCCTTAGAAAGACTGTAAGTCCATTTGGGTAGGTCCTGCTTCCACGTTTATACCATTATAACATAAATGGGGATAGGGGGATGAGCAAATACCATCTTAAAACACGGGGTAATTAACAAACTCTGTACAGAAGGCACAAAATATTCATACCTTGTTTCAAGAGTCTGAGTTAATGGCAGAAAGCTAAGGCTACAGGAGGAGGAGGGATTCCTCAGAGAATGGGGGGGTGCTTGTGTGAGAAACTGCTAGCCCAGAGGAAGGGTGCCTCCACTGATCTTCAAGTATGGCCAGACTCAAGGGCATATTCATAAACGGTGTGTCCTGGTTCAAAGACACACTCATAAATGATGTCACCTGTTTCAAAGGCACACTCAACACCCTGTTACATTTGTCCTCATCCTAACCCCCACTGAGTCCTGTTTTGCACTATAGGAGCATGTATTTCAGATTTTCCAAAGCCCAGAGTCTGGGTTGCTCCAACTCTGCCTTTTCTAGCTGTCTGTGTTCCTATCTCCTTCTGGGCCTTCAATTCCTCATCAAGAATATGAAAGAAATGACATTACCTTCCTCCTGAGATTGCTATCAATTTTCTCTGACTTGAGAAATGTAAACGACTTCAAACAGCTTCTGCCACCATCGCCCCCTGACAGCTGTCATTGTTTCCATTGCCAAGAGATGAGGAGTTACAAACCCAGGGATTCTGCCTGGCTTCTAAATCTGAATAGCAACATCCTATAAGTGACCTATCTTATTGACCCACTTTATACTTGATGGAAAGTAGAGCTGCTTGTTCACACTCTGGTGCCCCAGACAGATCTCTTATAATATCATAATCGTAGTGATGCCTACTAGAACAGCACTATCCAAGCTGGTCTATCCCAGTGACCCTTGGAGGAGGTGGACTATAAGACAGGTTCAAGTACACAGAGATCTTGTAGTTGGCAACTAGCTGGATCCACAGTCTACTCCTAACCCAGATACCTCACTCAGTCTCTCAGTCTCCCAATTCCTCATTTGAGAAGTAAAGGATCACCTCACATAGATTTTTCTGGGGATTAAATGAATTAGAGTATCAAAGCACCTAAGAAAGTTCCAGAGGCCATGAAAGCCTTGGGCAGATGTTGGTTTTTACTCTTAGCTGTCAAATTTAAGTTTCAGAGACACTATTTTCTTAGGCAAAGAATGCTATAGAAATAACATCTACCAGTCAAAGATAATTTTCAGCTGCCTTGAATATGCTAATTTAATTTTCCAAAGGAATACAAATTTTCACTCAGACCATGAAGTCATCATGATTTGAGAAAGCATGCATGCTGATGAATTTTAATAAGTAGACTTTAGCTGTTAAATTTAATTCTCAAGACATGATCATTTTTCCTCCACAAGTCTATCTTCTCTTTTATAGCTTTATAGAAACCATCTTGCTAGAGGGGAAAGTCATAGAATCATAGTTGTGACATGTGGGGCATGTAGGTGCCTTTAAAAAAAAAAGCTCTAGGTTTCCCATACTTTCCTGAAGCTATCAGCTACTAATGGTTGGCTTCAGAAGAAGGAGTCATTTTCTCCAGTGGCATAGCCACTGTCAAGTTGCCCATGTTCCAGTAAATAATGTCCCACCCATGCTCCTGCAAGTCACCTTAGTGAAATTTAGTGGGTTACAACTTTTAAAAGATGTGGAACTAGAAAAGAGGGAGTTTAGCAGCCATGGAAAAGAAATAAGAGGGGGAAACAATAGACATGAAAATGATCAAAATACATCAAATACATGCATGAAATTGTTAAGAGTAATAAATACTGGAAAGGAGAGGACAATTGTTTTGCTCAGTCTTCCTGAATTTCATTCTTCCATGCCATGCTCTATAAACACGTGTTCCTGAGACACCTAGGGCATCCCTGTTTAAAATATGAAGAGTTCCTGGCCCTCGTCCTTCTTACTTTGTTGTTACTGTCATCATGGTCCTCCTCCTTCATGGTCCTCCTCTTCCTCCTCCTTCATAGTCTTCCTCCTATCCTTTCTCTCTAAATCCTCACTCATGGATACCATACTGATGTTGGCCATTCAGACAGCTGGTCATGCAACCAAGTGCTACGCCCTAATTGACCCTTCCCATTCCTTCCTGCTTGATGCATCCTCTCCCATCCACATTCAATAGGAAGAACAATTGTCTGCCCAAGAAGGATGAACTTGGATTGTTTTTGTCCTAACAAGTTTGATGCCAAAACAGGACAGGCAGGCTCTGGACAGAAACTCTGGTCTGAAATCTCCTACTATCTTGA